CAGAGGTATTGCTTATACTGAGGAGGGATAGGTAGTCCTGTGATAAGAATTAAATAGCCTCATTGACTACAGCAATAAAAATGAGATGAAATTTGATAGTAGAAAGTACAAGCTCTTTGTACTTCAACATAATATCCTTGTGATGTCAACCAGAGGATCATTGATTGGAAGTGGAGGAGGAGAAGGAGGAGGAAAGCATTTTGAATATATGGGTCAACCACAGTGTATGGCTTTGAACCTCCAATATTCCTCATAGCCATTAAAAATATCTGCTGTTCTAGGATGTATTGTGCAAAGTATTACAGGCATATTCTCATTTCCTTATGCGATGCATATTCCAGCATGGCATTCCGATAGCTTAGCTCAAACTTGGAGCCAGACTGAACTCGTGAGAAGACAGCAGGCATTTGTTCATTGCAGTTGTCCTCTGCTAGGAGCTGCTCTGGTAAGTGCAGGTAGTTATGAGCTCCTACAAGAGTTCTCTGTACACCTGGAATATTCTTAGCCCTCAAAGCCAACCTTCTGAATATTTACCTGCATATTGCCAGCTCTGCATGTATCTGCTTGCCTCAGACCCAGCTACTAACTTCTATGCAGTTCTGGATTGTACTACTGTTTTTATTGAAAATTAATCTTCGAGGTAACTCTCCATGGTTGATCAAATAAGAATATACAGATGAGTAAAACACTTTGCACCATGTCATATGGAGCAACACAAAACTTGGTGGCTGTAATTTTTGGATTCTACCCCCAAATTTCTGAAGAAAAAAGCAAGATTAAGTAGGGAGTGTTTAACAATTTCTCTCCTTTAAACCTGAATAATATTTTGTGGGATCAAGAAAAGGTGCTTTAGCCAGGAGGATTTAATCTTTTTCACTTTTCAAAGGTTTGCTACAAGCAAGGGAACTGTTAAAGTTCGTAGGGTCAGAGAAGGGCAGGGAGAAGACTGAGCAAAGGCAAAACATCTTTTATAATAGGAAGCGCAGGGCAACTGAAGTATAGACATGCTACGTACTCCTCTGTAGTATACTGGGTGCATGCACACATATGTAAGGTGTGTGTATGTATGATATGTATTTCTGAATATGGTCAAGGAGCTGAAGTTAATATTCTGCTAATAATAAATGAACATAATAAGTTGTGACAGACTGGTTCCTCTAAATTAACAGTTAAAAACACTTTTGGTATCTGTATTACACAGGGGTACTAGGACATTTTTCTTTCATTTGAACATCTCATCTTTCCTGGCTTGAATTCGCCTGCTGATGTAGGACGATACTCTGTGACAGAGGCAAGTGTACAGTATAGAGGTTGGACATTTCACTCCTAGTTTTATTTGAGTGGTTTGCAGCCTAGTATTGCGTTTTTGCCCTGTTTGGATTGCAGGGAAATCAGTCCCTTTAAAGTTCCATATGGGGCCAATAGACATCTTGGAGACTTTAGAGCACAGCCCACAAAAACACTTACCTGTTGGCTGCTGGTGTAAAAGAAGAAAAAGAGGTACTTAAAGAGTGGAATGGTTTTATCTCAAGTATTAGGGGAAGAAAATACCATTTTTCTTAAATATTGAATGTGGGAGGGAAGGGTAATGCTTAACTGTTTTTAATCATTTTAACGAGTATTTCAGGATTGAGTATCTGACACTGCATTTTTAGCAACAAAAGGAAGTTTGGGGTTCCATTCCCTCCCCCTCCACCCCATAAGTAACTACCTGCAATTCTCAATTATTTCAGTGGAATCTGGCTTGGATCACCTTTGAGCAGGACTAGCCTTTTATTTATATATATAAATATGTAAAAAAATAAGTATACTTCTTTTGTGACTTGTAGAGTTGATAAGTCTGTGAGTGCCTTGATAGAGACTGAGAGGATAAGGGAAAAGTGTGAATAGCCTTTAATGTGTCTGCTCACCAGTTTCTGGTAAAAACTCAAAGAAGTAAGTTGATCAATGCTTCAGATGAGTCTGCTAGTGTGTTTTGGCATTTTCTTCCCCCCTTCCCCTTCTAGGTTAGTAGTTCCCAAACTTTTTATGAATTTGAGGCCCATCTCTGTTAGTTTTGTGACCCCAAATACTAATGCAAATGATGAAATTTGTTACATGTGCATTCTTATACTTTATTCCTGTAGTGTTTTTTACTGAATTTTCTGATCAAGTAGCTCAGTTTGGAGTAGAGTTTCACAGTAATTTAGTTTTGTGGGTTTTTTTGGGTTTTTTGTTTGTTTTAAAAAGTTTTAGCCTGGTGTTAACAATTAGGTGAAACTTGTGTTGCCTGCCTGCCCCCAAAAAATCCTTTGAGGGAGAAAGTTTTGTATGGATCTTGTCCTTTTGGTGTGGTGTAACTTCAGTGAGTGCTAACGAGTTGCTCGCTTTGGGAGAATTTCTGTCAGTAAGACAGACCCTCCGGTGGTTCCTCGGTTGGGGACCCTCAGCCCAGCGCCTGCCAGGCCCTGCAGGCCGGCTCTGCGGGCACGGTGCTTCACCAGAGTGACTTGGTAGTGGGTATTTTGTACTTTGCTGTAAAGAAAGCATTCTTTTTCACCTCAAGACGACCAGAATAAGAAGGTTAAATTACATTTCAAGGGAAAAATTCAAATTATACTAATTTGAAACAACTAACTTACAAACTTTACTAGTGGACTCTTTTCCTGGGATCCTGAAACTGAGCAGCCGTGTTTTGGCTTTCATGAGAAACTCCTGCCCTTCCTTTCTGCTGCAGCCAGGCCTGTAAGGCCGCATTGTCACTGGTTCTTGAGGTGATTTGTCCAAAACCTATTGCAGTCTTTTTAATGACATTGAAAGTGTTGGCATATATACAACTGTGTTGTTCAGATAAGTATGCTGGAGAGGACATTTTCTCAAGAGTCCTTAATCAGGCGCTGGACAATTACGGCTTTTACTCCACCAGTGTTTCTGTTAAACTTTCTGATTCTTTACACCAGAAACTCATTCTGCTCTGAACAAGTGGTTTGTATAAGGTGGTCTCTTGTTGGTTTTGATCTTGACATCTATACTTCATCACTCATGCACATAAATCCAGAAAGCTGAGAAAAGTAAGGAATCCTCTGAGGACAATGTATGCCTACTGATTCTGATGGTAGATGGAAAGCATTAGTGCTCACAGAGGGTCCTATTTATTTAATATTCTGCCAGCCCTGTTCTGTTATTTGGGGCAGGGGCTGTTTGTGGGATCTTTTAAAAAATATATGGAGAACAATATCTGATCTTGTGTTTTGAGACCAATACTTTGGATTTTCAACAATTCTTTTTAGAAAACTGTGCATAACTGGTAGTGCAATAGATAATGGAGTAAATATACAACTCTAATGCTCTGTAGCATAGTTGTGATTTTTTTTTTTTCTTTCTTTCTTTTCCTTCCCCCCCATGGCATAGTGTTTTGTTACTGATCTCCACCGCAGCTAAGATTCTTATCCCCTTTTGTGGTATTTTGCTAAAGGAGTTCATTAAATCCTCTGGGTACTTAGGTGAAAATTCTGGTGTTCAGACATTACACAAGGTAATGCAAGCAAGCAGTCCTTATCCTCCTCCGCAAACTGACTGTGGTCCAAATAGACAAAACAAAAGAATAAAATAATGAAGCACATAAGCAAGATGACAGCCAATAGACATTACGCAAACTTGTTTAAAGTAATTGTTCTCTTTATAACATAATAGAAGTAGTAACAAACAATTTGACATAACCATTGAAAAGATGATTTCGAAGGAGGAAGAAGAGAAAAAAGGGGTGTATAGGACTAAAGGAGAGGGGTAGCAGGTTGTGAAGAGGGGCAGTGGCTGTGAAGGATGGATGAGATGTGGTTAGAAAGAAACCTTACCAACCTTATCAAGGCCACTGCCCCACTAACAGGGGAGAGCACAAAGACCTCACCTTTGTTTTCCTGATGAGACTGCCAGCAGAATCCCTCCTGCGTGGCATGCAGTTTGGCTTATTTATGACTTCAGAGTAATTCAGTGCTGTTTCTTGCAGGCCACCTCATGTGGTAATGGTTTCCTTTGTTTAAAACAAGTTTCCACTGTAGTGAGATTTTTTTTTTAATAACGCTATTTATCTGAAATAAAAGGAATTTGGAAATAAAATAAATGGAAGATACACTCTTGAGGGAGAATGGTGATGTGTTTCTCAGCTGTCTGCTAGATGCAGATCATATTTTAGTAGCTGGGTAAGAATTTGTTAGTGCCCACTGAAATTTTTTTTGTTTCCTTTGATTGTGGCTTTTTTCCATATCTATGTACTGAAAATCAGCCATTTGCTATGATTAGTTTGCACTTAGTTCTTCCTCACTATATGTTGAAGCAAAATGTCATTTCCCAGTTAGCTGATTTATTTCATTTCTTGGCTTTCTTTTGTTTAGGGTTGTGTAAGAAAAATACTTCTAACATTGGTCAGTGTTCATATGTCCATTCTAAAAGGGCGTGTGGAGCAAGAGAAATTGAGACATGCAACCTGTGGAATAAATTACTCTGGAAAACCATTCCCCTGGACAAGTATCTTTTGAGGTTTCAGTGCTGTCTTCTGTTTGAGCCTTCATTTGGATGGGTGCTTTGTAATTCTTTTAATGGCTTTGAATAGAAATTACTGAAGTCTTAGAAAAAGACAATTCAGACTTACACATCGAATCTTACAGTACTAGTTCTGCATGTATTTTAGTCACTGTAATTATGCCTTTTGGTTACTTATGTCTTTGGAAGGTATATTGTGTATTACAAACAACTTGAAGGCAGCTAATGCTTTGCTGTCTTGCACAGTTGTCTTGCTGTGCCAGAACCAGTTGAATAACTCATACTGTAACTGGAAAAATTTCCCTGTTTTTTTTCTCTCTCTTTTTTTTTCCCTTCCCCTCCAGATTCTAAGGTACAGATTTTACTTTTTGTGGACTGCTGAGAAGAAAGAGTGCCTGACTTGGAAGCCTGCTTTAAAATGTCTTCTAGTTTATGAACTCACATCTTTTTTCCTCCTCCCCAACTTCCCTTCTGTTTTGCAGCCATAGACCTTTTGTATGGGGGTATATACTGCTTTATGTGTCAAGATTACATATACGACAAAGACATGGAACAAATTGCCAAAGAAGAACAACGAAAAGCTTGGAAATTACAAGGTTTGGTTTTCCTGCCTGAATTTCTTGTTTCTGTTTTTAATCATACCTGTCCCTCCCATTTGTCAATGGCAAAAGACAGTAAGGAGAAGAAAGAACTCTTTAGAGATAGTAGTACAGACCTTGGGAGAGAGATGTCTAGCTATTACTTTCCAGGAGTTAGACTGTTAGTTTAACATGTGCGCCACACCGAATTGTAGCAAAAATATTTTATTTTTAATTGCAAAAAATATAAAAATATCTAACATTAATCCTGCAAAACTTGAATAATATTAGAGCCAGATCTGTATTAGGTAGAAAATGTAACAATCTGCTCCTTTCGGCTAATTTAGGTGATATAGGCAATAAATCTGTTCCCCCTCACATGAAATGCCACCATTGTGTGTGATTTTTTTTTTTTTTTTTTTTTTTAAATAGAACGTGCCAGCTTACTTACACACCTGTGCTTTCATGGTACACACACAGTATCTATGTAGAAATATTTACACACAAATATATGTACACACATTTGTTTTATTCAGTTTGCTTTCCCTAATTTTTTCTTTTTTAGCCTTCACCCCAACAGTGGTTTCTCACTACCAGTGTACAATGACAGGTAAGAGGCGTGGGCTGGCGACGCACTTCACTAACAAGCGTCCCTTTGCTGATTATCCTGCCATTTTAGACATGAATCACAGTTAAGAATGCCAGTTTTATCGTGCAAATTGTTTTCCTCTTGTTTGGATATGTTCCAATGATTGAATAATTACAGCAGACTTGATTTCATATGCCCTTTCCTTGATAGAACTACTCCAAAATAAACCTTTTCTCCTTTTTTTGGAAAGGAAAGGAACTAGCATTTACCTTTAACTGAGTAGTTTTTAAGCATCAGTTTTAAAAGCTTGTCATCTTCCATTTCCAGTGGCCTCTAGGGGGTATGTTTTCTTAAAGTGGGAAAGTCTGTATTTGAAGACAGATGACTTCTGTCTAGTAATGTCTCTTACTGAATCCATGGCATCCTGTTTCAATGTGACAGCCTTAGTCAGGGCTGATATGACTTCAAACCATTCTTAACCTCATTTCCAATTTTAAAAATAGCAGCTAACATCGTATTAACTAGAGCTTTTCTGATGGCGTATCAAAAGTATAGCTGCTTTTACTTAGTTCCTACTACAGATTCCATTCTACTTTCTGCTTATTCCCCATTTTAAGGGAGTTGAGTCAGAGGAGAGGAGGATAGCGAGATTGCTAGTGAGTCCTAAAGCAAGAAAATACAGCTTAAAACGCTTTAGCACAAAGCACTAGTTTTCAAAGCAAGACAAAATGGAAACATGTTTGTAAACCTTTCATTTAGGCTATGCACCTCTTCTGAAAACTCCTTCAAACCTTCTAAACTGTGTTGTTTTGGGCACCAAATTAATCAGCTACAACATAACGCTTCTTCATGATACTATTGAAGAGGAAGGCCCCCCAGTTCCTTACTATTGAATATGTAAATTCGAAGAGCAATTTCTTAATTATGTTGTCCTTAGCAAATGATATATTTGTGCCTTTGGACTGAGATGCAGCCAGTTTGTACTCTAGTGGATGTCAGGTTGCTATAGCTTATGTTTTAGAGTAATTACAGCTACAAGATTGTTCATCTTGTTATGTTGGACCACAAAGTTGTGCGGTGAAGGGAAGAATCACCAAGAGGAACTGCCAGGCTGAAAAATCTTCTCTGTACTGGTTAACTGACTAATGAATGGCATGTTAAATACACATATATGAATGCATATTTATGTGAATATGCACATTGCATCTTCTGTCCTTGGAGAACAAATCTGTAATGACCAATGAAGATACAAAATGAAGGAATAGACAACAATACACTTTAAATTACTGGGGTACACAGTATAGACATTTTTTCTTTAGTCATGTCAGAGGATCTTTTGTTTTATAGCTTTTCATCGTGAAACCATGTGTGATTCCCTGCAAATTTATCGAAGGAATGAGAAAGGGAGATACGTGGGAGAAATAATGGAGAATTATGTCATCTTTTTTCTTTATTTCTCCATTGCTTCAATCCATCCCCTCCTTCCCATAGGGACTCATGTTATCTGAAAGATTATAAAGGGGGAGGGAACCCTTCTTCCTCCAAATTGAATGTCAAGATGAGTATAAACCCCAAACTCAGTGTCTTGGTTTTATATTTCTACCACAGAGTTAGTTTACCTCGGATAGTATTGCCGAATTAAAGAACTTAAGAAGTTAATCCAGTCTGCAAAAACTGAGATTGGCTTAAAACCTGAAGTGTCAATGATGTATATTTTCCAACTTCTATCCACAGTGCTTGAAGGGTATTAGTATATACTTTAATAGATGCTCACATAACAACATGATGCCTGGAGAAAAAACTTTAAGAAAACCCCCATATATCATGAGATTCATTTCATAGTCTTTTAACAGTAACTCTTAGTGTGATGAGTTCCCATGTCCAGCTGTAGTTCAGGGTTATATGATATAACTCTGAACAAGTTGCAACTCTACCATTTTTTTTTCCTCTGGTATTGAATATTCTTTAATAACGAGGGAGGTGAGAATACATGGAGCCCTTCATTCTAATTAATGTTTGGATTTTTGGGAGGGGGAAAAAGGGGGATTTGCTCAAGTATAGCAAAGTAAACAATCTATATCAATGATTACTTGCAAAATTGTGGCTTATAAACTAGAGCCTTCATCGCCTTTTCCTTCACTCATCCATGTGTCCCTGATAAAGTCTCTGAAAAATGACAATTTGTGTATTTGACGTAATAAAATTAATTCTTGGATGGAGATTTCACATGCTGACTTGAATCTCTGGCTATTTTATAGCATCATTTTTAAGATGATGAATTTTCACTCCTATAACGCTACTTTCATTTTACTGTAAATGATAACCTGTGCATGTTTTGCAAATCTTTGCTTAAGGTAGTTTATATTGGAGTTTTTGGCATGTTTGTGGGTGTTATTAAACCTTTTCCTAAACCTTTTTCTTTTTTATTGTTGTTGGGTTTTGTTTGTTTGTTTTTTAATTTTAAACATTGAACCATTCCTAATAAATGGTTCTGTCTTCTTTCCAAATTTTCAAGAGTAATAAAAATCTCAGTATTCTTGTTAGATTGTATAGCTGGAACAGAACACTTTTCAATTTCTGTCTCTGACTTGACTTGCGCTCTTTCTAATGAAAAGCTTCTGTAAGAAAGTTTTCTGTCTGTTTTGCTCTGTGTTTGTTGTGGCATTAACTGTACGTGGGTTTCTGTTTCATTTCTTTTCAATTGAACAATATTTGATTCACCCAGAATCCTGCAAAGTAATCCAGGCTGTCTTGTTTCACTTTACTTGAAGAGTTGCTCTTGTGAAATGCTTTGGTCCGCATCCTCTCTAAGCATTTAAGCTATGTAATTCTATATAGATATATATAAATATATAAGAATAGTCCCACTGACATGTGGAACTATTGCATGCCTGAATTGGAGCGCACATGTGTTTTCAGGTGTGAATTTTGTATATGTGATTTAAACCAGGATTTAAACGTAGCCAAGTTTTGGTTTTTTTGGTGGTTTTTGTTGTTGCTTTTATTAGGAGATTTCATCCTGTTGTCAGATTATACTAACTCTGTTTGGCCATGTTTAAACTACAGTGAACTCAGATGCAAGAGTTCAAGTTTACAGCTGGCCAGTGCAATAGCTGGTACTAACACAATGTTCAAAATTATTTTGAGCTTTTTTTACAAACCAATTTATATAAACTCCTAAGGGAGTACTACAAATATGAAAAGGGTTGCTGAAGACATCTAATATAAAACTTGTTGCAAGCCAATGTTCTGTCATATGTGAACTGTCCATATGTGCGTCTCTAAAGTTGCTTCATTCGTTTGCCTATGCACACTGTATAGTGTATTCAAAGCATTGCAGCTGTTTTATCTCATCAATCTGTTACACAGTAATTAGTTTCCTTTTCTGTTTTCCTGGGTGTGTAGCTTGATGCTGAACCTTGGATAAAGGAAAGGGACTATATGATTCTGGTATTCTTTCTTATGCTTCTTGCATAATCTATTGTTGAATCAAATAAAGTGAGATGGGTGCATCCATGTAAATAAGAATTTTCTAGTCCTTAAGAATCTGAAAATGAGACCTTTCATTACGAGAACCTGGAGGGTCAGTAGTAACTATGAATTGAACATTTTTGGGTGGGTAGCGTCTGACAAGCATAGCTATTTCTGAAAATGAAGATCAAAGAGCTATTAAAATTTAATGTATGTTATGCAGAATGTGTAAGCCTCTAGCTATATTTTCTACTCTCCTTCTTTTCATATGTATAATTTATAATTTATTTTCTGTAGCATAGCACTGTTTCTGCTCCATGCATTCTGTGAAAAATAACTCTTAATTGACTTTAATCCTCAGTTTTAGAATAGATTGCTTGTCATCTTATTATTCTTTATTTTTAATGCCAAGATGCTTTTGTGACTTGCTATAGTTGACCTCGCATAGTAATTTTTTCTGTGCTACGTAGAATACTGCAGCAGTACTTAACTGGTCAGCACATGAGTCTTCACTGTTGTGTTTTTCTTGTATCAGATTTACACTGAACACAACTCTCTGCTTACTTCAGATCTATTCTCTGTGATACTTGCCTGACTCATTTCTACTGCACTTTCCTTTGAACAAAAGAAATGTATTGGAAATATAGTGTTGATGTTTAAAGAGAATAATGACAGATTTTAGCTGCAGCTTGTGAGAAAGGGTAGTTAAGTATTTGGAGAGTTTTGGTTGGTTGGTACGGGGAGGGTTATGTTTAAACGTACTACTAATTGCATTTTTAGGTAATGTTAGATATGTCAGTAAAGCAAATATCAAGTATAAGAACTTGCTAATATCTAGCCCTATATCAGTGGTTATAAGGAGAGGTCATACTCTGTAATGGTATATCCTAAGACATGTAGTAACTGTTGCGTGTATCGAATTACTGAATTCTGCTGTTCATCTGTAAAGATTAAGCCTGTATCTGTCCATTAAGTTGGGTCAGTTTTGATTTATTTAATAACTTGTCAAAGTTCAGTGGTGAGATTTCATGGTTATCCTGTATCTTCTTCTAAAACCATATGGTGGTTCTGTCATTTGACCTCATCTGAGCACAAAGAAATGCATTTTTGAGTAATAATGGATTTATTCTTGTGCTGGAATTTCTTTTTAACTGGAAGGAGGATTATAATCCAATAATGGACACTTATTTGGGCTATGTATTCTCAATAAGTAAAGAAGTGCTTTTCTTCTTTTAGTTCTTATTTGTTGGAAGATTGGTTGATACCTTTCTGACCAATATTTTTGGGGAGGAGGGGTAAAAAGAAGTCAGTTTGTTTTGTTTGTATATAGATTGAATCTAACTTAATGGACAGCATGTTGAAAGTTTTTACTTGAACAGAGTTTTTAATCCTTTTACTAAAAAACTTCCTGAAACTTTCTTTTCATCTGCTTAGGCATTGGAGAGAAGTATTCAACATGGGAGCCAACCAAACGAGAGTTAGAATTGCTACGACACAACCCCAAGCGGAGAAAAATAACCACAAACTGCACCATAGGTAAGTTCTGGAAATCCTTTCCAAAGCAGATTCTCAGCCACTTGTATGTTCAAAATTCTGTGGTGTTTTTCCATAAATATTTTTACCCTGAGGTAACTGTAGTGGATTTCCTTAACCATTAGGATAACAAAATAAGTTTATTTTGCACTACCTTTTTCTCACTGTAGAAGCATATCTGCTCTGTCACTTCAGGTACTGATGATGATTCATCTGTGTAACAGCTACAAAACACAACTTTTTTTTTTTTTGACAATATGCATTTAAAGACTTCAGCAGAAATCAATGATGTTATCTCAACTCAGTCTTCATCAGAGATCCCATGCAGGTGTATGAAGGGAAATCCTGTAGTTCAGATGTATCCTTAACTACAGCAGTCTATTGGTAAACCTGTTTTTAGCAGCCAGAATAAGCACAATGATGTCTTTCTGCTTCATGTTCTAAACTCTAAATGGGGTCTCTTCAATTTCATACGACTCTGAAAAGATGTAATTGTTCTCCAGTGTGTGTCAAATAGCAGTTTTGAAATGCGTATCAAATGTTTAATGTTTAGAGTTCAGTAGTCTAGAGCAAAGAACTCTCTGAAATGCCGGCATATCTACTTACAGCTGGAGAGTATTTGGTTAAGTGTGGTGAAAATGAACAGCGTTTTCCAGGGTGGCTTTTTTTTGCTGTCTATAGGTTGGAGGAGTAGGGGGTTAAAACCAGCTTCCTGACAAGCTCTAATGAAGATTATTGGGCATTTTCCTATACTGTTAAGTGCACAGTAACATTTTAACAGTGAAGGTACAAGGTTGGAGATGTAGCTATAGACATTGGAAGTAGGAAACGGTTTAGAAAGGTTTTTTTTTTTCCTAATTTTTAAGCTGCTTACTGTTTTATGAGAACATATCATGCTTTCAGCACATTTGCTTTTGTCAAAATACACTCAACATAATTGCTAAAACTTTCTAATGTCATGTTTTTAATACAGTAAGTCATATTTAATCCAAAATATGTGTATATTGATTTGGAAAAGTGGACTGAGAAGCAGAGAGTGAATTGTAATAAGTCAAAAATGCATGTAGAATGGTAATTCTGAAGAAGGGACCTATGCATTTGCAATAGTGGAACAGGAAAGACAGTTGGAAAAACATCTGGACTTTCAAGCAGCCTGGGAAAAAATAACTAGGCAAAGATTGCTTGCATCATGTTCACACTGGGATTTTGTGTTTTATGAAACTCCAGTATATTTTGTAAAGACTGTTACAGATGACTTAAGATAATAGAACTGTGCAGGGCAAAAAAAAAGTTTGATAGAATTCTGAAGGTGAATGTGACCTTTCTGAAAAATTGAAGCACATTTCTGTGTTTCTCTTTCCAATTTGAAGGAGTGCTATGCCTACTCTTAAAGGATTTTAAATTTCTCAGTCTGTTTCAAAAGGACATGTCTGGTTGCATGAAATCTCATACAACGCTGCATGGGCGGGGGAGCACTCATGAAACACAGGGGATAAGGGAAATGACTGATCTCTTTACTTCTGCAGGCATGCTTTTAATAATTTCTCCTACTGAGCCCTGGAGCTGTCTATGTGCTGAGATTTAGAAAGAGAAAAAAAATCAAAGCACCCAGGAGACATAATGCAGTTTTGGGCTACAGTTAAAAGCAAAAGACTAGCTTTCTTTCACAAAAAAATACATTGGGGGTTTAGCTGAAGGAAGAAAAGACCTGCCATTGTCCTTGAGCCTTTTCTCTCCATCTAACCTGCTACTAAATATATATCTGCTTCAGAGTCTTTTTCCCTTCGCTTTCCTCACATTGACTTGTCTGTTTGCAGTTTCAGATCAGTGAAGAGCCTATATGCAGACTGAAATGCTGCAATTATCTGGACATTCCCATTTCTCTCTTTTTCTAATACTCAATTCTTTTGACATCAAGTTTTTATCAATCCCATAGCAGATATTAGTGAATCCAGTTTATCTTCTGAGGTAGGTAAATGGCTCAGAGAATAGGCATAATGTCCAGTTTTATTCGTTCTGAAAATGAAGATTATGTTGATAACCATCTATAAGCATTGCACACCTGTTGATCAGTTCTGTTTACAAAAGAGTCTGTTAAAGCATAACCAACTGCCTTTTATGTATAAAATGCTCTTTGCAAAGCTATTTTAAGAGGAATGCCAGGGGTGTTTGCTGCTTTCTGTCTTGCCTCCAGAGATACGCTGATGTCAGTTGGGAGACAGCATGTTTAACTGCTCTGCGATGACCTTCTGAAAGGGTTATTGTGCCAGTGCCCATTTCAGCATTTGTGTAAGACAAGTGTATTAGTATTATAACTAAAGTAAGCGGGACAGTACTCTGAAACCTGGACAGGCATGGCCTTGAAAGGATATACTTAACTTGTATGTGAAGGCTTGCATATGATTTTTAGCCCTAATAATAAAATACATTAAAATTGATGTTATTCGTATCTAGAACACACTTAAGTGGTAAAATATGTTTTGTTGTTGTTTCCTGTTACACTTACATTATTTACATGACACTCATTTAGGTGAATGCTTTACTCTATGGGAGAACCCTCTTCGTACATAAAGGGATTTTTTTCTTTTAATTCGAGATTTGTGGCAATCTCATGATGCTTCTTAAACAGCTGGATGTATCTACTACTTTTTTCTGAGCTGTTTGAACTTTTATACAGCTGCAGGATCCTTTGTCTTTCATTGGCACCATAAATTAAATCTGAAGAACACTCAGTCATGAAATGAATATGTTATAATGGAGGATTGAACTGGTAGTTCATTAGAGGAAATACTGTGCAAAACTCTTAGCTTTTGATTTAGCAAAATGAAATAATGTTTCCACTTGTGCGACGATTTGAAACCCATTGAAGAAGGAACTTCTTGTTCACATCCTCAAAAAAAAAAAAAAAAACAACAAACCTACACAAACAAACCAAATCAAACCAAACAAACCCCGGAACCTTTTTTGCTTAGTTCTCTTTTAAAATGGTGTGTGTTTCCATCTTACAGATATTTTTCCAGCTAGTAAGAAGATAGAGTAGGTAACTTTGCTTGAATCACTATTTTGCCATTGAGCAAATTGGTCTTCAAATAAAAACTCATGTCGGGCACTGCTACAGGCTATAGAAACTGTGTCGATTCCTGCCTTTTGGGATATAAACAGAGGGCTATTCCCAATGTTGCACATCTTTACAGTGACTTGGAACACACCGTTAACCAAGTGGAAACATTGAGTGATCTACAAGCAAGAAGCCGTGATGAAAAATCCTCACATAGTGTGGATTTTATGTGGAGTGTTTCATGTTCTGATGTCCTAGCAGACTTGAAATGTTCATGGAGTTTCTGTATCTCAAGCCATTCAAGAAGAGTGTATAGTCTACTCAGACTATAAACATATGCTCTTTGATAGCAGTATCAGCTCAAGGCATTCTCAGACTTTGTGTGCCCCAGATGCTATAGCACGCTGCCTTTTTTATTGTGCTGGCACAGTTGTTTTCAGGTGAACTGGATCAGGCTGAAGGGATGGCATATTGCAGGGAATGCAGAGGGTGAGTGGAAAGTAGAAATTTTGTAAGTTATTGTATGTTGTTCTCAACAGTAGTACTGAATCATGGCCTAGGTTATTCAATTCATAGAATATTTCTATTCATAGAAATGCTTATCTTGATTTTGTGTTGAAGCTGGTGTTCCAAGCATACTAAAACCGTATATGGAAAATTAGATAAGACTTAACAATTACTAAATTAGATTCTAACAACATAAAAGGAATATCTAATTTTTCAGCCGCTTCTTGTCTGTGAAGAGGCTGCCCTCAGCAAGTGAGGGTAATGACCAAGCTCCAAGTTCACAAGCAGATTTTTTTATTACGGGGTTCTGCTAGAAGTGAAAGTGATGCAGTATCTTTCAGGAATTATTTTCCAAAGCTTGTCTTGTTCTGCTATCATTAATACTCCCAGCAGATCAGTTCTCCTGGGTACATGAAGTATTAGCTTGGGATCAGCTGGTCTCTGATTAGCATATGAAGTGACTTTGTGGCTAAAGATTGGTATATTAATAATAGGAAGAATTAGACTCCCAAGGCACATGGATAATTAGCAGGAGCCACCTGGGATTCCCATTTGTAGTGTTGCAAAAAGGCAGAGGGGATGGCCTTTATAGGAGACTGAGCAAATCCTTCTCAGAAAGAATGATGAGGTGTGGGGGAGGTGGCAAAAAGAATAGCTATATGGGAGTAGCAGGTGGTTTTTGCAGCTGTGCAACGCTGAGCAGTGTGATGTGATGAAGAGCAGCATGAGTGGACTAAATATTGCAGCAGAGCTCCCATGTAAAGGTGGCAAGGGAAGAGGAACAGTGGCCTGGAAAATATTTCTGGTTCTCTAGACAAGTTACCAGGAGCATTTCCACTTCTGCAGAAGTAGCGGTAACTTGAAGGTATTGAAGACTACATTAGTACTTGGAAGTTTTTTTGTGAATGTACCGGCTTTCTGGTGTACTTTTTCTAGTTGAATGCTACTTAAGGTAGCTCAAATGGAAAAGTAGAATGAAAAGCATGGTTTGGTACAGCACCAAATTTTTAGCTGTAACTTAAATTTAAAAGTTACTGATTTGTAAGGAGTAATACTTCTATATTTGAAATCATGACCACACAAAGTGCATTTTGAATAGAAGTCTCTTTGATTCTTACATTTTTTTTAGACTGCTGTGTGGCGAAGGAAAGGAAAACCACCTTTAAGACTACTCAGGTGAATGTTTCCTCTGTGACTATTTTTTTCATGTAACTTCGTAATTAGAATGGTTAGCTGGTTGGAAAATTGTTTTCTAAAAGGTTGGATTAGTAAAATCAAAAAATGCTACCCTTCTATCAGGGAGATCCTTCTGTTCCTGTTTTACCTTGTCATGAGCGCTGACCATTGGACTGAGTTGTATAATGTTTTTCCTAGGTCTAAAATTGATAAACCTGATAGTAAAAACAAATAATAAAAAAAAACAACCTTTCCTCTCAAA